ATCATGCGCTACAAAATGCACCAGAAATAGCGATTTATGCAGTTGCCAAGCAACAACTAAAATATCTAAGGATTCAGAAATAAACACAAATATGAACTGCATCAAAACGAGATATTGCACATCGAATTACAAGGCACATTTTGGTGACATTCAAAAAAAGGAAAAATTCGCGAGTGAAACTCAAATTTTAGCGATCTTCGTGTTTCATTGTCTTGACAAGCACTGCTATTTCTGTGGCCAGCTCATCTCGCAGTTTTATGAATCACTGTGATCGTATAGTTGCGGATTATGAAAAGTAAAAAATTTGGTGTCGTTTTAGCTACATTCAGTAGCACTCCTAAAAGTATGATCCGAAGCTCGGCCACTTTCTAGCACACCATAATAAATTTGCGAAAAAGTGCTGTAACGTAAAGAAATTGCGAAGAAAATATCACACTACTTTACATAATAGAAGAGTGCCAAAGAGCAGCTGTTTTATTCTTTAAGCCGGATATCATTATTAAACTTATTTTTATGAACTGAGTTAGAACTAAATTATAAGAGTACTATGTACACCGAAACAGATATAGGGAGTTCTTTTTTTGCATTTTATTCATGCAAAAATTTGTTGGAAGAACCCAAGGAAGACTGTTAACGCGATGGAATGAGCTATTTGAACAGCTTTTTGGAATTTTGGGGGGTGCGAACTGCTCAAAGTTGAGGAGGGTGGAGAAATTGCCAGCTGCATCGGTGGTGAAAAGAAACATGGTGATAAACAATAGCTGATCAAATTTTTAAAATATGTACTTTGTGTACCTGATTAAATTGTTTGCCCGGAAATGGGCCATGCTGCTGTTCAGTTTATGCAACATTCACGGTTCGAATTCGATATTTTTCATAAACAGGGCATTAAAAATGCTGAATGCTGACCTCAAACTGACCACAGCAACTAGGTCACTTAGTAAGGAAGAGATACCTTACTGTGAAAATAAAACTCCAGAATCCTTGGAGTTAGAGAAAGCTTACCTCCAATTTGCTTCTGAGAGGCTGAATAATTGGAAAGGCAGTTTTTTCCAGTGTCATTTTTCCAAAAAAAAGAAACTCATTTTCTGCGGTATGGTAACGTTAAAAGTGTTAATTGCGCATCAAAATTACTATATCATTTTTTTAAAGAAAAAAATTTTTTGGATCTGAAAAAATTTTTAAACTAATTTAAGGAAAAGAAAAGCGAACTGAGTGAAAAATAGGAAAGTGATGCTCGTTTTGTATGAGGAAAAAAAGCTGCGAGATCAGACAGAGTAAAGAAGAGAACTAAAATTTGGAACGTAGAGAGACTGAGGGTCAGGGCATTAATACTTTTTAAATCTTACTTCTAGGCTTTTCCGTAGGATATTACATTTTATACGGGATGTTGCCCACAAATACTACCTCACACGCAACAGACATTTCGAAAATCGGTCAACTCCGCCAACGAGTGGTTGCTGTTGTCACTCAAACTGCTTCCCGAGTGCCTCTGCCTCTCATAGTAAAAACGAAAAAGGTTTTGTTTTTAAGTTGACGCTAAAGTGAGTGAAGTGAAAATAAGAAGGGTTCAATGTTTATTACTGAAAGAAATTGCCAGTGGCAGGCAGAAAAGCGGGCAGTGCAAGATGCTATTAATTAGGGATGTTAGGGATGGCATTTGTTCTAAAATAAGCGTGAAAATTCACAGAAGTACTTAAATGGTTATAAATTGAAGCAACTTTTGGATAAGTCGATTATTCTTTTATGGCCGCTGTGAACAGAAGTCAAATTTCAAGTTTTTCGTAGGCAAATTTATAAGTGAACAAAACTAGTAATAATTCACAGAAAAAAAGTGAAATAATGTACTCATCATCTATTTCTCGGAAAAATCAATTTAAAAAGTGAATTTGAAGTTTTTCTTGAAAAAAAAAATAAGAGATGAGGGAGAGAAAGGATCGGCAGGATCGACATAAATTGTAGTAATTTTTGAATAAGATGATGAAAAATAGAAGGAAAATTAAAATTTATGATTTGAAAGGTTACAAA